ATACATGTTAACAGATTTTTTTGTAACCCAATTTTTTACCCCAAAACTTTTAACCCCCAATATCAAAAAGTTTTTCACTCATATTGTGCATATGGGGATCAATTCAATGCAGGAAGACCATAATTATTCTCACTAGACGTTCATGTCGAAGAAAACTGTCTAAATTTGTAACTTCATTTTCAATTTTGCGATCATTGTAACAAATTTTAAAGTTTAGAGAGCAAATTGCTAAGATTAAAAGTTGAGAGACAAATGCCAAATGCATAGAGTTGAGGAGATGTCGATACAACAAAAGCCTTATTCAAGAGAAATACATAAACCTGACCAAAAGAAAATCCACCCAAGAGTCTGAATTCTGATGAAGCTCGGCCCATTCCTCCAATTTATCTGATATGGAAAAACAATATAGTGAGTTAAATAGGCAAGTAAAGAATCTAAATAGCATGAACTAGTTGGTAAAGAATCCATCATATAACATCAACTAGTTTGGTTTCTTAGAATAAATGTCTCCATAATTGTTCCAAATCATTGATTATACCGATCGAAATACAGTTTCGCTTTGTTATATATCAATGCAGCCTTCAAAGCATACTGATCTAAAATAAACGATAATAACTATTTACCATACGAGTCAATTCCACTACCATGCAAGCATGCCCTAATTCAGGCGAAACACGCACTTTAAGCAAAACATGATAATTAAGGGAACAATTTGCGGTTGCTATAAATACACATAACCGCATTTGTGTTTGTGTGTGTTTCTTCACATAACCGCATTTGTGTTTGTGTGTGTTTCTTACTTCATTTGAACCCTAAAATATGAAAGCATGAGATATATACATCTACTGTTGTAGCTTCAAACATCAGATTATATTTAAATTAAATGAAAGAAAAAAAAAAAGCAAAGGGGACAGGGAAAATAGCAGGCCAAACCTTAACTTCCCGGGCACGAGCCAGCTAGCTCGCCATATAAACCATGAATGAGGGCCGGGATAAGCACTATAAAGATAATCACCCAACAGGCCATTGGAATAAACGCAGTGAAATGTCCCTCAAGAAAGAAGGAGAAAAGGCAGAACAGCGATCCGAAAATTAAATTATAACCTAGGAGTGTGGCGATGAACGCAAAACGTGGAAATTGCCTACGGCAGAGAATCCCAATGAAGAGCGCGGTAACACTAAGAGGGACAAACCAAGCAACGACTTCCATAAACCTACTCATGGGTTTTGGGTCTTTCTGATACATGATGGCGACGGCTGCGCCAAAGGCAAACGCCCAGGTGATTGCTTGCTTTGGCATCTCTTGGTTATTCAGTGCCTCCTCTATTGTACGCCCAGAATCTTTACAATATCGAAAGAACGCTTCAAAAGGGCTTTCTTGAGGCTCCTTTGTCTTCTGTGCTTCGAGATCGTACTCATCAACCGCTTGTCGTTCATTATCCTGCGGGGACCGCAAATTCAATTCGCTGCTTTCGGAGCGCGCTGTCTCTTCGCCATCAGAAGCCATATCCTGAGAATTTCAGAAATGAAAAGACCTTGACGATCAATTAGGGTTTTCAGAAATGAAAAGAATCTCAGCTGAGAATGGAACGGAAACTGGGGAGTCAGCTAGGGTTTTAAGGTTGGATAGCTAGGGTTTTAAGTTGCAGAAACCAAGCAGCGAAGAAGACGAGGGTTGTGTTGTGGGGGATTTTGGGCCTCCCCATGCGCCCCACGCAAAAAATATGCAGCGCCCCTTAAAAAAAAAAAATGAAAAATAGTGTATTGCGAACAACCACAAAAAGGGGAAAAAAAAAAATACGGCTTCTTCAATTTTTCATGTTTACTTTTCTAGCCACAAATTTGGTAGTAAAATTAGGGTAAAATAGTAATTCAATTTTATTATCAGGTAGGAAGGAGAAGATTTAAAGATATTTTTGAGTTTTTAATAATGTTGAAAACTTAAGATATTAATTATGCTATTTACTACTTATTTTTTTTAAAAGAATATATTATAATTTACCAAACACACTACCAAATATGTTATTTTTCTTCTTCTTTCATATATAATATATATATTTATATATCATGCTTGTCATTTAACTTTTTAATATGTGTGTATATCACACTTGTTAATATTTCTTCTATTTTCTAGTATGTTATATTTTTTATAGCTTAATGTTACTTAGGTTTTTATAATTTAATTAAAATGTTAAACACTTATAAGTTCTAAAAAAAGAAAAAAACTTAAGGGGTTGTACAGTTACATTTTTTAGTTAGGGTGATTTGAGTTCAGTTCTTGAGTTAAGTTTGAGTTATAACTTGAGTTCAAGTTTGTAACTTGAGTTTGTGTTTGGTTGTGTATACTTGAGTTATGGTTTGAGATAAAAATCTATTTGAGTTTGTGTTTACTTGTACCAAGACCTGAGTTGTGAATAGTGGATAGAAAATGTATTTTTTTAGTTATGGTGACTTGAGTGTAAATCTTGAGTTGAGTTTGAGTTATAACTTAAGTTGAAGTTGTAACTTGAGTTTGTGTTTGGTTGTGTACATTTGAGTTATGGTTTGTGTTGAGAATTTATTTGAGTTTGTGTTTGGATGGGTAAAAAATTGAGTTTTTATTTAGATAGTATTCTTATAAAAATTAAATGACGATGAAAAATTTTAATAGGGTATATGAATGAGGTTTTGTTCGTCTCTTCGTTGTGAACACATAGCAAAAAAAAATCATTTCAATCGGACTTAAAACGAAAAAGTTATGACATTTTAAAATGGATGAGAGGAAAGATAGAATATTATTTATTAATTTTTTAAAATTATGACTGAACTTGATTAAAGATGAATCAAAGGGTGAGGTTGAACTCAAAAAATCCGGCAGAACTCAAGTTTTTACTTGAGTCTTCAATTGAGTATGTACCTGACGAACACTAACTTGGGCTCACTTCCTAACTTAAGTTTAGTTTTCTTGAGTTTAAGACTCAAACGAACACACCCTAAAAAACATAAAAAGAGGCCACGCGAGAACACCGCAGAAGTCGAGAGTTAAACTCAAATTCAGGGGTTAGGGTGAACTCGAGAAATGAGGGTTGGTGACTCGAATAAATTTTTGAGTTACCCATAGCCAAACATAACTTCACTCAAAAATTATAACTCAAGTTGTCTTTTCTTGAGTAAATATGGGTTGCCGAACAGCCTCTTAATAATTAAATTTGTTAGTCTAAGCCGAGTGCTTTGACCAAATCGCTTATACATGAATTGGTTTGATTTGGTTTCACTCAAAAATTTTGAACCGCCTAATAAAAGTTTAATATTTTTTATTTAGCTGGTAATTTTTCTTTTCAACCAATCATAAACATGAACACTCCAACTTAGGGATGGCAAATAGGGTGGGATGGAGGCGGAGGATGATTCTTTATCTCCATTCATGTCTTCCTAAGCTATCCTCATTCTTGTGTAAGGAAGGGTAGGGTCAGAGTTAAGGATTTTCCATTAAGGGAGCCTTTCCCATACCCGTCCTATTTTCCATCATATAGAACTATGCATTTCAAAATTATAGCGACTTAAAATCAAAATAGAGTAACAATCATTATAAATTTAGACCAAAACTAAAGGTTCCATAATAAAAACTAAATTCTATCTTTTCTTTTTTCTCTGTTTTGCAATATTGGCAATCTTACAATCATATTAAAGTCTCGTTCTCTATAAAGTTCCTTTTTGGAGTATTATACTTAGCTGGAGCTCCAGTGTCGCCTCTGGACGCGTTGCTGGACTTTTGTCCCTGAAACTTGGTCCCCGAACTAGCCTCGTCATCATCTTCTCCGTGATAGTGGCAATATATGAAGTGGCGCTTTCGTTGGAGCAGATCTGACACGCTTTGTAAGTGAGGTGTCATTCGTTTAGGTTGTTGTTTTCAACATGTTCATGGGATGGTGGCAGTGCTCCCTTGGCATTTTGTTTCTCGGCGGTGGGCTTCTCTTGGAGATGGAATTATCGATTGTCAGCTGCGGCTGTGAAAGGTGAGTTTCACTTTTAGTTTGACGCTGACTTTTCTTGACTTTATCAAATAGAGCCTTAGTCGATCTTAGTGTACCGAGGTATTATCCCGGACCTCAGGTGTATCCTAGCTGGAGCTCCAGCGTCGCCTCTGGATGCGTTGTTATGTTTGTTACTCTGTTTTTTTTTTAATACAAGTTCCCTGATATATGAGTTTTTATTCAAAAAAAAAAAAAAAACCAAATTCTTCACAAATTGTAAACTGAATCCAAAAGTAATAATCAACGCATAAACGAAAAAAGTTTAAAAACATCAAAACATAAATGTAAATTATCATTTCTTATATATTCCTAATAGCTTCAAAAAGGGATGAGGAGGCACTAAACAGTGCATCCTACATGTATATATAATATCGGAGAAGATTAGTAATTACCTTTTTTTTCCTAGTATAAGGAAATATAATCGGTAGTTTTCTTTCCCAATTAAAAAAAATACAGTTACTCTTCTTGTTAAGTAAAAAGTAATTTTAAGAGATTATTTGTATCTATACATATATTTACATAAGAAAAAACAACACATTAATAGAAGACGGGTGGGGAATACTTCTCCCATCTCCACCCATCACAAATAGGGACTAAATTTTCTTCCATCTCCATTCCACTCTTTTCAGGGCGAAGTCCCGTCCCATAAAAATTATTGTCATTCCAACTCCAACTTAAAATAGATGGAGAATGTAATATGATTTTAGGAAATCCCTCCACCTCTAATATTTATTTTACTCTATGATTCTTTATAATTTAATGCATATGTTATTTTCCCGTTGGGGTTAAAACAATATTTTCTTTTTATAAAAATTTAAATTTAAAAAATTCTACTACAGTACTCATCACTTGAATACTCTTTTTTTTTTTTTCCCCTGCAATGACAAACAGAAAATTTAAAGAAATTAATGCAAAATAAAAAATAAAAAAAAAATCAACTATTTGCATTCAGCACCCCGTCAGTACAAAAAATGCTAGAAAACACCCAAAAGATTTGTCTTAGACCCTTGGTTGGCGAGCAAAGCGCTCAACCATCGCTGCTTTCTTCTTCTTCTTTCCAGAATCAGGTATTATTCTCTGCTCAATTTGTTTCTCTTTTCTCCCAAATCTCAATCAACTAGGTTTTCCAATTTCGTTTTCTATTGCTTTCGTTGGAACATTGAGTTTCGAGTTCGCAAAATTTGAAAAATTCACTTTTCAGTTGTTCAATTGGCCATTTGGAGGAATAGTAATCAGATACAATTTAGACAGGAACCAAAAAAATTTGCAAATTTTGGCAATCCCGATAAAGCCTTAACGCAATTTTGTTTTTCCATTTGAAATTCAGGTTTTCTGATCAAAGTTCCTCAAAATCAGACTTTTTGGGTTGAATTTGTGTTGGTCGGAGGAAAAACATTGAGTTTGATTTTTGGGTTCTTGTCGGTATTAGGTTTTTGTGTATTTATATAGATAGACTGGGGAAAGTAGATATGAGTGTGGTGGGATTTGATATTGGAAATGAGAATTGTGTTATTGCTGTGGTGAAGCAAAGAGGGATTGATGTTTTGTTGAACGATGAATCAAAGCGAGAAACCCCGGCCGTCGTTTGTTTCGGTGAGAAACAGCGGTTTCTGGGGTCAGCTGGGGCTGCTTCAGCTGTAATGAACCCGAAATCTACGGTCTCTCAGGTGAAGAGACTTATTGGTACTAAATTTAGTGAACCTGACATTCAAAATGAGCTTAAGCTGTTCCCGTTTGAGACTTCTGAGGCACCTGATGGTGGCATTTTGATTCACCTGAAGTACTTGGGTGAGACTCATACTTTTACCCTGGTTCAGATTATGGCGATGCTCTTCGCGCATTTGAGAGAGTTAGCGGAGAAGAATTTGGAAATTCTGGTCTCCGATTGTGTTATTGGGATCCCTTCGTACTTTTCAGACTTGCAGAGACGCGCTTATTTGGATGCTGCGTCAATTGCTGGGTTGAAGCCTTTGAGATTGATGCATGATTGTACTGCAACTGCACTTAGTTATGGGATTTACAAGATGGATTACTCCGCTTCTGGGCCGACTTATGTTGCTTTTGTTGACATAGGCCAATGTGATACTCAGGTCTCTATTGCTTCGTTTGAATCGGGTCATATGAAGATATTGTCTCATTCTTTTGATAGTAACTTGGGAGGGAGAGACTTTGATGAGGTTTTGTTCCATCATTTTGCTGAGAAATTCAAGGAGCAGTATGGCATTGATGTGTACTCTAATGTCAAGGCGTGCATTAGGCTGCGAACTGCGTGTGAGAAGCTAAAGAAAGTTTTGAGTGCGAATCCGGAGGCACCCCTGAATATCGAGTGTCTAATGGATGAGAAAGATGTTAAGGGCTTCATTAAAAGGGAGGAATTTGAGAAGCTGACTTCAAGGTTGTTGGAGAGGATTGTTCTTCCTTGTAGCAAGGCTTTAGCTGATGCAGGGTTGAGTGCGGACAAGATTCATTCTGTTGAGCTTGTAGGGTCAGGGTCTAGGATCCCAGCTATTACTAGATCATTAGCTTCAGTTTTCAAGAGAGAGCCCCGCCGGTCGTTGAATGCAAGCGAGTGTGTAGCCCGTGGATGTGCTCTACAGGGTGCAATGCTAAGCCCTGTTTTTCGGGTCAGAGAATATGAGGTTTGTATATCTTAAAATTGAACTTGTTATGGAGCTTTTCTTTTACAAATTTCTTTATTATTTTTCTTTTTGGTTTCTATGTTTTTCCATATTGCTTAATTTTATATCTTCATAGTTCTAGAAATCAACTACACTGCTAGTATTCTAAAATACAGGCATTTATCCTCGTTGTTTTGTATAGTTGCATTTTATTCAGTAACTGCATTTTATGTTTCTATATGCAGGTTCAAGATTCACTTCCTTTTTCAATAGGCTTGTTATTGGATGAGAGTCCTATTGGCACTGGGACTAATGGAATCCTGTTCCCAAAAGGCCAACCCATTCCAAGCATTAAAGTTTTGACATTTCAAAGAAGCAGTTCGTTTAAATTGGAGGCATTCTATGCTAATCCCTATGAACTGCCCCCTGCCACATCTCCAAAAATTAGTTGTTTCACGGTAATGCCTTTTGTACTATTGAGGGTTTTCCCCTCCCTGAAAGTTTTTGACATTCTATGATGGGTATGCTTAGTCCGAGCCACTGATTTTTGCAGATTGGCCCTATCCAAGGAACATGTAGTGAAAAGGCAAGGGTTAAGGTTAAAGTTCATTTAAACCTCCATGGCATTGTTAGAGTTGAATCGGCCACGGTGAGTAAGAAATTAACAAGTCTTGTAACATCATTCAACTTTGTCTCAAGGTTTTCTTATGTATGAATTTGATGTGGCTGCAGTTGATAGACGATCATGTTGGTAACTCAGTCTCAAGAGGCGAAGTTCACTCTATGGATGCAATGGACGTTGATGGTGCATCTGTTTCCGGTGGTTCTGAGAGGGTTGCAAATGGGGTAGAAGATAGTGCAAGTATACAAACAGAATCTTCGCATCCTTCAGTAAGTTTGGCAACTTCAACATTATTATGTTGTTACTGCATATTTGCATCCTTTCAATCTTTGATTTCGGTAGTTGATATTTTCCCTGTCATTGACTTTGGAATCTACCCATTTTCTTGTTAAAAGATCTAGTAGTCTAGTACTTCTCTAAAATTTTAATTGTTAATTTATTAGATGATTGGATTAGATGCAAGTTCATTTACAACCGTTCCTTTTTTGCAGGCAAAAGCTACAAAAGAGGAGAAATCCACCAGAAGGCTAGAGATACCCGTTAGTGAGAATATATACGGTGGAATGACTAAGGTAGAGCTTTCAGAAGCGCAAGAAAAAGAACTTCAGTTGGCCCAGCAAGACCGAACTATGGAAGAGACTAAAAACAAGAAGAATGCTTTGGAGTCGTATGTTTATGAGATGCGTAATAAGGTATAATTTTTACATATTCCCTATAAAGAGGTATTATGATTTTGTTATAACCTGCTCAAAACACGTCTATGACAAATGTGGATCTTATGATTTCTATGCCTGTAATATATTAGGATTTAGCTCCAACAAATGTGTAAGTAGCTTTACATGTGTTGCATTTTAGGTATATATTGAGTTGACTATGAGCCTTGTACTCTTTGGAAAACTCTCATACATGAAAAAATTTCTTTTATTGTGCTTGTGAGAAAGACCAACATGCATAATAGTGGACCTTGCATCCAAGGAATTGGACCCGTTCTTAGCCATATGGCTGCATATAGTGCCTAGACTGAGGAGCTCTACTGTTATAGTTTTCAGCATGAGTAAATCACTCGAACCCTTATCCTGGTGACTTTGGCCATTTCGTTTTTCTCGATTATGGCATCTTCACTAATAGTTTAGGACATGTTTGTTTCATACACTCAAACTCAAATCATTGATTGTGTTTCTCTCACAAAAAAATTGAATTTCAAAAGTCAGAATCAAGAATCATGATTTGAGTATACCTTACAAACGGGCCCTTAGTTGTAGTCGAATAGGCCTTTTCGTTTGTACTGTATTATCTCCGAAGGCAATATTTTAATTTATCTTATTCATTTGAAAGCTCTTCAGCACATATCGGAGCTTTGCAAGTGATCAAGAGAGGGAGGGCATCTCCAGGAGCCTACAACAGACAGAGGAGTGGCTTTACGATGAAGGAGATGATGAAACTGAAAGTGCTTATACTTCAAAGATGGAAGATCTTAAGAAGGTTATTGTCTCTTCTTAAACTCTTTAACAGTTCAACTTTCAGTTTCCATTCCCTCATTTTTTTTTTTTTTTTCTTTGCCTCTTACAGCTTGTGGATCCAATTGAGAATCGCTATAAAGATGAGGATGCAAGAACAGAAGCTACAAGAGATCTCTTAAAGTGCATTGTGGATTATCGTACGGCCGTGGATTCACTTCCCCCCAAGGACAAAGAACTGGTATTTCAATAAATTAGCTTATCATGGTGGTGGCTAATCATAGTTTACTGTTATTGCAATAGTTTATTCAATGTTTTTAACGTTTCCAATCTTCAGATTGTTAACGAGTGCACTAAAGCCGAGCAATGGCTCAGAGAGAAAACCCAAGAACAAGATTCCTTGCCAAGGAATATTGATCCAGTATTATGGTCAAGCGATATCAAGAGCAAGACTGATGAACTAAACTTGTAATACTCATCCTCTCGCACTTCTTAATCGTCATACTAGAACTCCAAAATACGGTTTCTGATGTTTTACATCATTGCAAGTATATGCTCGTTTGATTTTTGGAAAATGCTCGAATTATTTAATGGGGAAATTCTACAATTCCGTAAAAGTGTCCCGCTCTAATTGCCATAAGCTATGCCATGAGTAAATATCTTGATTTAAGTAATCTGTAGTATATTTTTTGATCATTTTTTTTTTTATATATATTATTTTCAGGGCATGCAAGCATATATTGAGATGCAGGGCTTCTCCAAATAGATCAGACCAACAGGATACTTCTGACCACACATAAACTGATTGGTGCAGTGATGCCTCATAGCTTTTGTTTAGAATTCTTGTTTGCTCTGACAAATGTAGATTTCTTGTGTTATGTCTTTCCTTTTTCTTTTCTTTTCTTTTTATCCCCCTCTATTCCTTTATACAAGCATATATTAATGAGCATAGTAAAATATTGAGATCTTAAAATGTCCAGCGTTTGGAAAAATTTTGTTGTCGTTATTCATGGTTTATAGAATGCTCTAATATTGTCGTTTGGTTTTTTACATTTATGTTATTGACAGAATCATACAGTTGAGACAGTTCACGATTGTATTCAATGAATTGATTCTTTTCTGCGTGAAGAGCGATAAAAGTGAGTGACGCTTACTTCTATAAAATTGACCAACTTATAGGATTTATGGCTTTTGTTATAGCTTTTACCATGAAACTTTGTTCTCATCAACTCAGACCAATAATAGATGCTGGTCCTTTCCGGTATTCGGTTGACCATGAAATTATCGTTAATTGGTGCCTTTAATCCCAAAGCCTATTAGTTCCTGAACTTTTAATTTTAACAATTGAATCCTCATATTCTTAATTTACTGGCAAATTTAATCAGATTAATAATGTCCATCTAAAAATGGACGGAAAAGTGTGAGTTTAGCATGGTGCATTGCACTTTGTGCTGGTGAGTTCTTAAAAACGTCTGCACTAGTGATATGAGGTGTGACAAGAAATGCATTGATTTTTTTATCTACAAGACAACAAAGTATCCATAAATCAGATTTCTGCTACTTGACCAGTTAACATCTCTGAGGAAACTTTTTAAATTTTAACAAATAATTAGAGAGCTATTTTAGCTAACATTTTTTAAGTGAGTCATTCCAACTATACTTCCTTTTTAACAAAACATAAATTATTTTAATATTTATTAAATTTAAAATATAAATAACTTTATTAAATTTAAAAAAGAACTCTACATTTATTACTATTTGAAAGAACAAAATAAAATAAAAAATTTAAATGGCTAACCACTTTTAGCTTGCTATATTTGACTAGTGTAAAATGCATTTTCTAAAATAGCTAACTATTTAACTAATAGTTTTAGTGGAAAAAAAAAAGTTAAATCATTAATTATTTTGACTAAAGATATGAAACGGCTAGCATAGTTAGAAATACTCTTAATAGCTTTCCTAACATAACCATTAAGAACATGGAGCAATTATTAATATAGATAAATAATATATGTGTATACAACAAAATATATAGAAAATTTTTTAACTTACCTTTAAAAATGTATGAGTCTTAATTTTTACCCATTACTTTTGATTAATACTCTTTTGACTAATATAATATTTGATTAAAATAGTATTAATTAAGAGTAAGAGGTAAAAATCAAGATCCATGCAATTTAAGAGGCTATTTGACTTCTTTTCCAAGTATAAAAGTTTTAGGCTTACCCTGGTGATTCGCCAGCACAAAACCAAGTGGAGACAATCTCATATTTAGCAGGAGGGAAAGAAGTATAATTTTTTTTTCTTTTCATAAATTTCACTCTTCCTACAACAAAATACAATTCTAGATCCGCACTAGACAATGTTAGACGTTAAGCACCTAAACTTTAACGAGAGCCATCGTTTAGTGCTTCAGGAATTAAAATGTTTTTCTTAAAGAGTATGAGAAAAAAGAATGAAGACAACGGGACATGGACAAACAAGAAAGCAGAGAAACAATATACAGATCTAACAGATAATCCCAAGAAACGGTACAGAATGTGTGAAAACTTGGCAAAAATGGTCAGCTTTTCTTCTTCTTGGAACTGGCTTTCCTTTCGGCTTTATTAAGCCCTCCTTTATCCTGCATTATAGATAAGAATGTTACAGAATGCGAACACGAAAACATCAACAAAATAGATAAAGATGCGTTTAGATTTACCTTCTTGTATTGTCTGTAAGCAATTTGACCTGTCAGCTCCTGCCCATTTTTGTTGACATAAACCTGATGACAAACATTAGAGCATTAGCTTCGGCCTAGTGTTACCAAGGCAAACGAAAATACAGGCCGATCGAGTACTAGTGACTTGCGAGTTTTAACCATGCAGCAACTAACGATCCACCAGGAATAAAGATCAAGTAAACAAAAAAGATTCTGCTAATTGTTGCAATACACAACTTTACGTACCTTCCGTCCATTTGGGCCAGTATACCATTGACCGACAGATTGACCATTCGAATGCGACCCTTGTTTTCCTGAGTTCTTTTTATTGCTAGTAACACTGCTTCTGGGATCCAACCAGCTTCCAGAGTCATGCAAGCCTTCTCCAGCACTAGATGCTTGCGCTGTATTTCGTCGGTTCTTCGAGCTTTTCTTAACACTCTTTTTCCCTGCTACTTTCCCTCGTTTTGGATCTACCCAACCTTCAGAAGCATGCAAAACCCCTCCTTCGTTTAGTCTTCTTGACGTATTACTTTGCTTTTTTGAGCTGTTCTCAGCATTTGCTTTAGTCCTTCCCCTCTTTGAATTTCTCTCAGGATCAACTTGTTGAGTTGCTTGTCGTTTCGAAGGCTCTCTATTGCCAAATTGGCCCCTGCACAGACAAATAAGTACATATAACAACAAGTCTTGATATCACAAATAAAAGTTCTCACTTGTCAAAAGAATATAAGCAACAGAAGAGATAAGTACTTACATGTAATCAATAACTGCTGCACCATTCTGCTGATTTTCATTGTTCTCATCAATACCTAGTGGAAAGAAGTTGGGTAAGCGATTGCGAACTAACTTCCGAATCCTTGGATCATGATGGAGAAAGTAACGATGAGCAGGCAGAATTAGATTAGCTGTATTCCAGGGTTGTTCGATGCTTTGGCCATTTGTAGTTTCCCTAAAACCTGAAGAGCTCTTGACAGATTTATCACTCCCTAGTTTCACAGATGCATTTTTGTCCTTCACAGAGTGGAAGTATTGATTACACATCTCATCTAATGCAGGTGTTGGAATGCGAAAACTCTTAACTGGGCAGAAATCTTTCCACAAATCTGCACTTTTAGGCATACAATCTGAAGCATTTCTTTTCTGTCCACTGGTAGTGGCAGATTGGCCGTGATTAGATTGTTGCTTCTTGGAGGATTGATCAATTTGAGGATCCCCCATGATCATAACTTTTTCGCTTGTGGAAGGCTCATCAGAGTCGGAATCAATTAACTGGAATTTTCGAAGAGGACTAATAGTCAACTTGGGAAACAATCTTTCACTATGGCTAATTTCTGCACTTGCAGAAGCTGTTGCAGTTGAAACTGGTTCTTTGTTTCTTGCCTTCCACTCGCTTGATTGTTTTGTAATAGCCCCACAGCCATGTAATGGGATCTTTGAACTACTACACATGGAACGATATTGTGTTGGCGGGTGCAGTTCTGTAACAGAACGTTTAATCCAAAAAAGAGAACTAGTAAACACAAACATACTAACAATTCATAATCGAAATATACGCAGTCGTCTCAAAATGAAAAGCAGCTCCGCAAAGAGATACTCAGATAAGCATCTAAACAGAAGTAAAAGATAGATTTTACACTTAATATAATTACTCATTGTTCATTGACCATTATACATGTGCATCCATCAACAATCAATGGCCCACCACCTGCATTCTAATAAGGACAAGAAATGTTGATATTGATATTCTACGAGAAGGGGTTTCAGAAGAACAAACCAATCCCCCTCACCTTTATATATGCCCATATGCCCGTATGTATATATATATATATATATATAGACACACACACACACACATATACATACATATATATCTGGGAAATTCCTCACTGTTAAGTGACCTAAGCTCAGATGGGTCTGCAGCCAAAAGCATTCATCAATCTACATAATAGCCTGCCTAAATGTATCTACAGTCCGCGTTTACACATATTCTAGACCGGATTATGTTAAAAAAATGATTTCTTTTAAACCACAGAACATTAGATGTAAGCTAAACTTAACCTCGATTCTTTAAGTCGGCTTTTAATGGTTAGCCCTATTACCATTTCAACCAAATTCTCTAAATATTCCAAATTCTGCAATAACATTCACCGCTTGTTATCCTATACAAGTTATGAAGCATTGAAGCTAATAATAAATCTATAAAAACCCAAATATTATCATAATGCCACTGACCCAAATATTAATAAAAACCCCACCTTTGTTTAATCTAAATGTTGCGACAAATCGTGTAAAAACTTTTCACAGGAGAGGCTTTTAACTTGATTTTTCGAGATGTTTTTAACATGATTATAATTAACACAAGAGTTATAAAAGATTAACATGATTTTTAAAACATAGTTTAGCATTTCTGAAAATAAGGAGGGAAACGCAATATTTGGATCCCATTACAAAACGCTAATTTCTTCTTCTACCTAATGGAATCTTTCCTTGTTTGGTTCTTACAAATTGGGGGAGGAAGCCAAAACAGCTTCAAAATGTCACTTTTATCTCCCCTAAAACAACCAAAAATATCAATTTAAAGATAATTGTAGCACATAATCAAAGCCATGAGCGAAGATATACCTTCAAGAACATCTTCTTGCGAAGAGAACTCTTCGATATCATCCTCAGCAACACAAGACCTCAACGCCGTCGTTTCGCGCAGCTGCGGAGGTCCTCGCCGGAGCCGTTTCAGAACCCGAGGCGGTTCGGATCGGGATTCCGGATCCGATTCGGCGACGCGGGGCCCGAAGTCCGTGTCCCCGCCGGCGTCGTCTTGGAGCGTAGGGCTAGTTGAACCGGCGGGAGGATCTTGGGGCGGTGCTTCGGCGGCTATTTGGGGCTCCGAATCGAAGAAGAGATCGAGTCCGAGGGAGAACGACGGAGGCTCAAAGTCATCCATGGAAATGGAGTAGCATAGAGAGAGAGAGAGAGAGAAAATGGAGGGAAGAGATTGGAATTGTGGCGGTATTTATAGTGCGGATTTTGAATTTGGGAGAATTGGAGGGAGTTGAAAATAAAAACGTACGTGGTGCCCTTTTTTTTTTTTGGATAAAAACGAAAAGAAAATGGCGGGTTAGTATTTCGCATGCTCGTGTGACCAGAATTTGGGCCTGATTTGGGGCTATGGTTTTTATGTTGGGCTTGGGTAGTATGCATTAGGCTTCATTGGTGTAAGTTGGGCCTAGCTTGTATCTTCCTCTAACTAGGGCTGTTCATAAACCCGAACAACCCGCAAATCCAATCCACCATACCCCAACCTAAACCGAAAAAAGCAACCGACAGCATTATTTTTAAATTTACGGCTCATTATACCTCTGGCCCAAAGTGTTTGGAGCAGATTGCGGGTTGCGCCCATAACAACCCGCAATCCCCAACCCAACCCGCACAACATACCCCCAAGCTTCGGCCCCAAGCCGAACTGTCCAAGTTCTACCCTAGGCTCGCTAACATTAGGGTTCACAATCTCATTCTCGGTCTCCCCTCCCGTGAACCCCCTCATAACTCTCTCCTCATTGCTTAGTCCTCTCGGCCGCCGTCTTGTCCACTTTCTCCGGTGCTCTCTCGCCGGACTAATAAGGATGGTTGCTATTTCTATTTAATGATGAAGTTTGAATATTATATTGAACTTTAAGTCTTTGATTTTTTGAATGTTGAAACTGACTATCCAACCCACCCCGCACCGCCCCAACCCAACCCGAACATCGTTGGGTTGTGAAATTTGTCTAACATCGTTGGGGCTAAATATGTGCAACCCACACCCTTTGGGGCGGGAAAAAAAAATCCTACCCCGCACCAACCCAACTCATGAACAGCCCTACCTCTAACTGAGACCAGTTCAACTTATTAAAAAAAGAAAGGAAAAATACACTAAATAACATAGTTTAGATATGATTTTAAAGTTAATAGCATGTTTTTTAAAACTTAGTAAATAATAGCATATCTTAATTTTTCAGAAACCAAAAAAATTGTATTTACCAAATTAACCCTTCTTAGGGTTAATCTTTTTTCCCCTCAGTTTCCCCAACCGCCGCCTCTCTCCTTCACTCTTCCACTCCTACAACTCCTCTCTCTCTCTCTCTCTCTAAAATATCGCCGGCCAAACTCCGGCTTTTGGAACCAAATGCCGACCAGCGATATTGAGGCGGATCCTCGCCGGCCAAACTCCGAGGACCTCTGCTCCTCCCTCCTCTGAGCCAGGAAAGCGACAACATGACGGATATGAACCACGTCTGATCAGATCCTGGCTGGCGGCGACGACATGACTGGGAGATGGAGTTACTCCAAAAACCACGACGATGACGACCGACTCAATCTGAGAAACGTGACACGAACCATCTCCGACCAGATCTTGGCGACGACGACGACATGACGACGAGATGGATTCGCTCCAAGAACCGCGACGAGGACGACGGAATCGCTCCGAGAACAGCGACGCAAACCGACGACGGAGAACCTAAAACTGCGACGTAGGCGACGGAATCTCAGATCTGCCGTAGATCTGCGTGAGAAGCAAAACCAAGGTCAACAGAACCACGGCCACTGAATATGAGGGCGTTTATTTCAATAATTCAAGTTTAAAATTTTAAGTTTTTTTACAGGAAAAAATTTTGACAAATAATTACATTTAATTTTTTTATTACAGTAAAAAAATTTTACATAAAATTACATTTTAATTCGAATTAAAAACTCAAATCAACGAACTAAACGGGCCTGAGTATTTTTGTTAATATGAGATTTTTGGTCGTTTTTTAAAAGAATTATGAGACATGAGATTTTATTGGATGATTTTTTTTTGTGTATTGCTCATGATTGTCACGACCCCAAATGAGACTGTAATTATTGAAAGAATTAATGGCTCGTTCACTTCACAAATTTGAGTTTTTAATTTGAGTTTAGATGTGATATTTTTTGAGAATTTTTCACTATAGCAGAAAAAGTTAGATGTGACATTTTCTGAGAGTTTTTTATTGTAAAAACTTAAAACTGAAAATTCGAATCGGTTAAATGAACGAGACTTAAATTTAATTAAACGAGATTAATCAATAAAATCTAAGAAAAATACATATTTACAAAATAAATATTAAAATATAATGTTTGGAGTTTTTTTTATAAATAATATTTAAAATAATTCATAAAGTTTAATATAATATAATTTTGAGATAGTGTCGATTAATATAATTTATATATAAAAATATAATATATCTCAAAATTAAAATTTTAAATTTTAAATAAATTTTAAATTTTACGCCTTTAATTTATTGATATTCACTTGTCATGATGTAAATTTAAACTGCTAACTCTTGAAGGAAGTTAAAACATTAAAAATAAAAAAAATGTGAGTGAAATGCTCAATAGGATATAATTTTATAAAACTAAATAAATAAATGAAAGTACATACACAAACAAATCAGTCAGAACAAAATAACTTTTTTCTGAAAAATAAAATAAACTAAAATTTCATATTACAGACAACCAGTAAGTAATTTAAGTAATTAAATTACTTACGACCAATGCAAGGCCAAACACCACCGTAGTGGTCCGTCTAGGTTTCGGGTTTTGTCGTCAAGGATATGATATTCATATCTTGTCTAGACAATCAGCGGGTTTATCAGTTCACAAGATATTTTATCTTAAGAAAATATATGTTAAAACTTTAAATCATTTCATTATGAGATCAATAGCAATAATCAAGCTATTCTCTTAAAATATCTTTCTTTGTCAAACATATATTATCTTTAAAAACATTTACATAGGTCAAAACACTTTAAAACATGCTAACAATGATATTGACAATAATATCTTACCTCTTAGATAGCAATTCCACGCGCTCGCTCTGACATCAATGATTCCATTCGAGTCTCGATCCGCGTGCATAGTATTGGTAGACTTTTCAACGTAATGGAATCGGAACAAACGGAGGTCACTGTTGCGTTCAACACGTCGAAACGAGTCAGGATATGGTCTCGGATTGACGAAGGAAGGTTGGGAGGCTGCTGAATAAAAGCTCACTGAAATTCACCCACAGGCGGCGACGGAGGCTCCCAGAGAGTTTTCCTACAGCGGACTTAGGTCTTACCCTTGGCCCCTCTGAGTTTAATGATGTGGTCAATCGCCGCCAACTTCGACATAATCTATCAGCTTGGATCTTGATTTTCTAACTGTGGGACCTTAAAATTGGTTGAGGGTTTTTGTTACTTACTTCATTCTGAGTGTTTTGACACTAAAATTATAACGATCCAACAGTTGGATCATCGGAACCAACACTCCAACGGTGGCAGCGGTGAACTCTATTCTCCGGAAATGATGGCGGGACTGTGAAATTGGCATAGGGATTTTGCTCAGCGTTCTTATTTGAGTCCATTGACACTGGCAGTGTTGAAAACTGCAGCCGAGAAGGAGGTGAACGACGTCGGCGGTGGCAGGAATTCTGCCCACCATGGACGGTGGTGGTCCGGCCAGAATTAAGCTATGAAAAGTGATGGGTTTTCTTCGTCTCTTCACACTGAATCTACATGAACTGAAATCACCTCAATTGGATATCAGACAGAAGAGATATCGCGATCGGAAGTTTCGATTGTTTTCAGAACTTCACCCTGCGATTGCGGCTGATTCTAGCAGAGTTGGAGGTCGTGCAACATGTCAACATGCTCAGCTTGTCGAGATCTTTACCGCCGTGGAGAGAGAGAGGGGGAAGGAGAAGGTGAACGTGGAAGAGAGATAGAAGGAGATAAAAAATGAGAAAAAGGAAGAAAAAGAAAAGGAAAAAAAAAGGAAAAATGAGCTTGGCCTTTCTGTGCAAATTTGATAATTAGACTTCAAAACCCAATTTAAATAGAGTATGAAATGACCTATTATTGACTAGAAAGGGAGGGGAAGAGAGATAGAAAGTAGGCTTAGGGGTGTTATTGAGTTTTTAATAATATTTTAAACTTAAAATATCAAATTATGTTATAATCTACTATTTAAAAAAAATATGTTATAATTTACCGAGCATCTCACCAAATATATTATTTCTATCATTCTCCCAAAAAGAAAAAAGAAAAAACAATAAACGAAACAAAACAAAACAAAACAAAAACAACTTTTTTAAGGCTCCACAAGATGGGAGATTTTACTTGAGACCCAATAATTTCAAAACTATATTCCATTCCACAATATCAAAATATTTTACAAAATAGGTTCCCAAAAAAATTTACAAGACAATAAATAAACAATGAGAAATTTTTCGTCTCATAACTTGAATACACAATACTTTAAATTAAGTAGACGTTTGGTTGATAAATTTAGAATCATGATTCAGAATCATTATAAATTTATGTGTATTTTTTGTGAGAAAAAATATTATAACGAGACACGAATTATGACGGATCCTTAAACCAAACACACTCAATTTGCCCAACAGACTGCTTCTAATAAGTCCCGTGTTTACTTACATGCTTTTAGGCTGTCTTTGGATCATTTTGGGTCACTCATCCAAAAGTCTCCAAATAATTCCCCTACTTGAAGTTTGCCACACATTAATACAAGAGAGAGAGGACAAAATTTTCACCTATTATCTTCAAACCAAATTATACATCTTTCTAGCATGTACATTGAACAAATCCTAATGTATATTCTTTTCCAACCAAAAAAAAAAAAAAAAAAATTTACATACAAAAACAATTAACGGTGACCCAGTTCACCGCGAGAGGAATAAAGGGCCCACAGAGATCCATCACATATCTCCATCACTGTGATCTCATCACCACCGTTCATATTCCCCATCACCAATTAGCTGATCATGATCTATGGTCGTGATCAGTCTACCTCGGGAATGCTTTGCAAGGCAGGCCTCCAAGACCGTATTTGCTGTGTTTGGTATTTATCACTAACGCTGATCAACTGGGCCAAAACTTGTTGTACGGACATGTCCTTTACGTCCATTTTGCCCAGCAACTTCTCCAATTGCTTCTTCGTGATCTTTATCTTCACCTCCGTACCACTAGTTGTACTTGTACCGTAATTAGAATAGCTAGAAGTGGCATTGACAAAGCCTTTTTCACCGCCATGCTTGAGAATTAACCCTTGATCCTCTTCAATCTCCATTATGTCATTTTTGGACGTTCCACCACTTTTGTTGACCGGAAAAAGCCCATGATCCGCCGCCGGAGAGCCCCAATCCTCGCCGCCCCACCTCATCGATGACTCGCGCCGCATACAATTTCCCATGTTTTATTTTTTTTTTCTTATTTTGGTGTTTTTTTTTTTTTTTTTTTGATGTGTATGTTATTTGTGAGAGAGCAAGATTTTTGGCAATGGAGAGGCTTGTGCTATATATATAGCAAAAGATGGGATCATGTGGCGGTGAGAGGAGATGGAGAGGTAGTGTGAAAGAGATCAAGTAGGGAGGAAAAAGTCAAACCTAATTTTTTTGTTTGCCACGTTGGATGGCATGTTGTCTACGTGGCATGTGATGGCTCGTCTGACCTCATTTGCTACCAATTTGGGATTGGCTCCAAATGAGGAGCCAAGTGTGACACCATGTTAGTTGTCTCAAAAAGTCAGTCGCACCCGACGGTGGCTCGGCTCGTGCAGCTCGGCTCGGCTTAATCAGCTAATGAGCTCATGTAAGCGCGCATATATATAAATATATATATATATATATGAAATTAAACCTAAAAGTCACTAATGAATGAAGTGTGAAAAGAATCCAATATATATGTATGAAATTAAACCTAAAAGTCACTAATGAATGAAGTGTGAAAAGAATCCAATATATATGTATGAAATTAAACCTAAAAGTCACTAATGAATGAAGTGTGAAAAGAATCCAACACTAGTATCATGATATTGCCTGAGCAATTACTCTTTGACTAGCTTCTTCAATGTAGCGATTAGTAATATTAATATTCTTTCACAAGATGGTTAATTTTGTTTAGTGATTAAGACCCTTGCATTTGGTAAAAGCATTTCATCATCGCTGTTGTTGCCCCCAAGTCCTACCTACATTTGTACGACAATAAATCTAAGATTTCGTATTTATTGTTCATATCCAATAAAAAATTGAAGACCAACCTACTGCCTCGTTCATTTCGCTGATTCGAATTTAGAATTCGAGTTGAGATGTGATTTTATGTGAGAGTTTTTTACTGTAATAAAAAAGTTAGATGTGACTGTTTGTGAGAATTTTTTACTGTAGCAAAACTCGAATCAGCGAAACGAACGAGGCTTACATGTTTCTTTCATTATATATAAAAAAAATGATATTTATCTTTTAATACATTGTGTTTAAGGCTTATTTAAATACTATATTTCATATTTCTTATGTCATCGAATGTATTCATTTAAGTTAGATTTTATACACAAATTTATACTCTTTTAAGGTCAATTCTTGATCCTGACATTAAAAATATGAAAAATTCTCTCAAATAAAAAAAATTAAAAACTAGAAATAAACCCTTTAAACTTATGGTTTTGACCTTAATTAATATCTAAAAAATACCCTAAATTGAGATAATGTATCAATTTATATATTAAATGTAATTAAAAGGTATACATTTAATGAGATTAAAAAATAAATAACGGTTGTTAAATAAACCTAAGGTATAAAACCTTAAAAAATACACACACATATTGTCTCTTTGACAAACTTGAGTAGCCATGAACATCTCTCCACGAGCCACACCAAACGAAGCCGGTACCAACAAAACTAAACCATGGCCAAAATGGACTTTTCCTAGTGTGAAAAGGCTTTAGCGAAGGGAATCTTTTCACATATTTTAAAGCACACAGGTGTGAACACAAACTTGCAAAAGGAATCTTTCATTGAAGGTCTCACTGCTCAGTCACGTGCGAGCTTGCTCGCTTTGATTACGATAAATGCAACTAACGTATGCAACTTTTTCATCATTACCCAATTATATGCGTAACAACTAGCTTGATCTTATCCATAAGTCAAATCGTGAACGTTTAATTGACAGATGCAGAATTATTTTTAATTTATGTGTATTTTTTTAAAAAAAATACTATAATAAATTACAAATTATAATTCAAATTATGACACAAATCTTTATATTAAACACCCCATTAATGATCTCCAGTCCTCATCAAATTTTGTGCATGGGATAAAAAACTCGACTTTGTTCTTTTAAGCAAATCAAGATACAAAAACATGCAGACCTCGTTCATTTTATGGATTCGAGTTTTCAATTTGAGCTGAGATGTGACATTTTCAGAGAGCTTTTCACTGTAGCAGAAAAAGTTAGATGTGACATATTCTGAGAGCTTTTTACTGTAAAAATTTAAAATTAAAAATTCAAATCGGTGAAATGAACGAGGTAGTAATTTTCTCATTACATTACTCATCTCTAGTGCTCACCAAGTTATTTCGGAAGAGAGTGCACTAATTTTATTTTAAAAATGGCAATTTTAAATATTCATGATTCAACGCACAAGAATATATGGCAATTACAAGGAAACACTAATGTAGCCTACCACCAATTGTTTACTTTAACCATAAAACTAAAGTTAGAATCTTTTATCTTCACATTAGTTTAGCAATGTACAACAAAAGTTAGTCAAATTTCTTAATTATGCCATGCATGCGTTTATTTACTCCTCATCTCGTGTAATTAACTGATCTAATTCTATTATATTTGTCAACCTTTGAATTTTGAATGTGTACTAAATATTTCTTTCACAAGATCAATGTTGAACTTTGTCTTTCATGTTGGCCTCTAATTATGGTAATATCAACAGTGTGATTTTTTTAAAAGTGATTTGAATATTAATAACTCAAAATTAGAGCATTAGACATTACAATCAACAAAATCAATTAGAAAAAAAAAATTTAATTAGTAAAATAGTGGGTTATCGAGTTACCCAAGTGAGGAACTTAACAAATATTGTTACTCTGAGCTTGAAAGATAACTTTTGGAATATCATAGTTTATGCATGATATGAACGGTGTTAGGATTAGGATCAAAACCTCCAATCTCTCCCAAAAGCACTATAAAAATTACAAAAGCATAAACCATGAATAAAAAGGGGAAAATTAGGCTCGTTTAGTTCGCGGATTTAAATTTTTAAATTTAGTTGAGATGTGACTTTATGTGATAGCTTTTTATTGTAATAAAAAAGTTAAACGTGACTATTTTTAAAATTTTTTTACTATAATAAAATTAAAATTTTAAATTTAAATTGATAAATTAAACGGGACCTAAAACTTTTTTACCATATTTGTGCATGGTTGGTGAGTTAGTTTAAGTAATTGGCTCGTTGCCTCCTTCCTACCAACCTTCCATGTTAGCTACCGTTCAAAACCATAGAAAGAGGCCATTTCACGTGCCACTCACGTGATTTTGGTTCTCCAAACACGCAATATGACATCATCACCCACCTAATATGCATGGGATCGTTACACGTGGTAATCAAATTGAATGGTTGTGATTATCCGTCATTTTAAGATGATTTCACTCGAAATAATAATATTGTTGGATATTGCAATGATGGTCACATGCAATAATGTATGTATACGTATTGTAATGGAGGGCCATGATAATGTTCATTGGTTAGACAAAAGTCTTGTGAGTTGTAACCTTTGTGTATAATCTCATAGATATGTTTTTATACATCCACCACTATATACTAGTTAGATGAAAGTGTGTGTTCAATTTGTTAATCTTTTTTTTTATACATAATTATAAAATGTTTAAAGGAATAGTTTTTTTTCTTGATTTATTAATATTCTTTAAAGTTTAACAAATTAACATGGTCTTGACTCTTGACTTAGAATTATAACTTTCTATGTGACCAAGTCATCTGTAAATTTCAATTAAATAACTTGAATTGATTAGCAAAATAATAATAATAAATAACTCGAAGATTAGAGTTTTCGTGTTTTGTTACAAAGAAATTAGAGTCTTAATTTGGACTACATGTAGGCCGTAGGGCCAAGCTAGCCTAAATATTTTTAATGAGTTTGTTGTAGAATGACTATGAATTTCTGAAAGAGGGATTTTCTTCGGTACGCTAATATACCAACATGTCAAGTATATTAGAGTATTAATTTAGACTACATGTAGGGCTAAGCTGCTCATTAAATATGTAGAAAATTATGTAAAAATAAAAATAAAAATAATGTAGATTTAACAATTATAAAAACTTGACATACCTTCTCTAGATTCTCTGGCCAAGTTGTAACCTTTTTTATTTTTATTTCTGTAATTACTGAAACTTGTGTAAGGACTTAGTTTTTAATTTTTATGAGTTTCATATGTTTTAATTTTAAACTAGTCTTCTCGTTATTGTCTCATCTATCAGTTTTCTCGCTGGGCCCAGTGGTTTTCCAGTAAATGTTCAATTATCTTGTGTGTGTGTGTGTTTTTTTCTTTTCTTTTTTTTTTGATAAATCTGTATTTTTCATCAGTTGATCAAGTCGCGCGGGTGTGTGTATATATATATATATACACACACACACACACATATCTTTTTTCTTTTTGACCCAAATATAAGTCATTAATTGTCAATTCAGTTGCCACCCTGGCCAATTTAATTTGTTTGATCATACTATTAAATATGCATGTAATTTCTTGTATTGCGATTCAGAAAATGAAGGTTTGTGTACTGCTCAATTTTGTTCTTTTTATTTTTGGTCTGTTTTCAATATATATATATATATATATGTATAAATATATTATGAATATTCATAGGTCTCGTTCATTTCACCGATTGGAGTTTAGAATTTGAGTTTTGCTATAGTAAAAATCTTTCAGAATCAGTCATAACTAACTTTTTTATTACAGTAAAAAACTCTCACATAGAGTAACATCTTAACTCAAATTAAAAACTCAAATGTGCAAACTAAACGGGTCCATAATATATGTTAGCGGCCCAATTACGATTGGTAGGTCCTGCACAACATGGGATCACCAACCACATGACTATCTGCATTCCGCACCAAGAATCCTATGAGAGTACTATATATTTAAGTTATATACAACCATTTAATTACTAAGCATCTGCAATATTTGCAATGCTTAATTATTGTACCAATTATGTAAAATGTTACATTCAAATAAGAAAATCACTCTCTAATATAATATTATTCTTAATCTTAAATTTAACATATGTTATACTTAGTGATTAATTTACTATGAAATATAGAATATGTCAAATTTTAGCGTTAATTAAATGCTACTAGTTGATTTGTCTACTTTTTCATTTAATCA